ACCATGTCTGTCTCTACCATGCTCTCTACCATGACATTGATAGTCTAAGCTTCTGAAAGTCTAAGCAAGCTCCCAATTAAATGCTTTACTTGTTAAGAGTTGCTTTCATGGTTTCTCTTCACAGCAATAGAACAGTTACTAAGACATTTAACCCATGAAAGCTTGTTCTGCCACCTACTAAGTGAACTCTAATCAGATAAGACTTGCACAATTTTAAGCATTGGGAATTCCAATGGCTTCATTTTACTAATAATAATTTACCAATAATATTAATATTAATGATAACCAAAGAATAACTAAATGGATTCTATGTTATTTTCTTTCAATATCTTTTCTGAATACATTGCATGTATTAGTTTTTAATTACTCTAACAAAATACCTGATGCTGAGGAACTTTGTTTGAAGATGTCTGCTTAACTCACAGTCTTAAGATGCTAAAACACACGTTGCCAGCATCACTTCAACCTTTGCTAGGATCTGATGGAAAATGACATTACAGCAATAGGAATACATGTAAGACTAAGGAATTACATCTAACAAAATGCCCAAGAGTTAGACAAGTGGCTAGAATTGTTCTTTGATGCTTACACTCTCACCAAAACTACCTGAACAGTCAGAAGAGTAAACATTGTCTCCTGTAGGAACACATAGTGACCTTCATTAGGCCCCTTATCTTAAAGCTTCAGTACTTCCCTAATTTATTACACTGAGAACCAAACCACCAATGCATGCAAAAAGCAATAAGCACATCCTTTGCTGTTCATGTTGTGCCAATCACAGTCATGTGCCCTTGAAGTACTGCCCAAGACAGGCAGATGCATATTCTTGAAAAACTAACTAAGCACCATGAACGCTTATGCCATAATTTTCTCCCTCTATATAATAAGTCATATATACTTTAGAATTATATTATAAAAAATGATTTGCAATTAAAATACATGTTTGCTGCATTGTCTCTCAACAGAAGCCCATGAGCTATTTGAACATTGCTCTAAATTAATGAAAACTTTTTTTCTCCCTTTTCTTTTTTCTTTTTTTTTTTGGGGGGTGGGGACAGGATTTCTTTATGTAGCCCTAGCTGTCCTGGAATTAGCTCTGTACTATACCAGGCTAACCTCAAACACAAAGATCTGCCTTCTGAATGCTGGCATTAAAGGCATGTACCACCACTGCCCCACTATAAAAATGTTCATAACTCTAAGATAGCATATAAGGTAGTCATGAGTCTCATTATAGTGGAAGGGCATTAAAGATAGCCTCTCCACTATTGCTTAGATGGTTAGTTGGGCTCATCCTTGTAGATCTCTGGGCATTTCTCTAGTGTCAGATTTCTCCTTAAATCTATAATGGCTCTCTCTATTATGTTATTTCTTTTCTTTTTCTCCTCTATTCTTTCCCTGTTTCAACCTTCCTGTTCCCTCAAGCCTAGAGCTTCATCTTGTAGCTGATGGAAGCAGAATCAAACACCCACAGCGAAACACTGACTGGAATCCAGTTATAGAGAAGGAGGAGTGATGAGCAAAGGGGTCAAAACCAAGCTGAAGAAACCCATAGAATCAGCTGACCTGAACAAGGGGGAGCTCATGGACCCCAGACTGATAGCTGGGAAAACAGCATAGAACCTACCCAGACCCCCTAAACATGGATGTTAGTTAGGAGGGCTGGGCAGTCTATGGGGCCTCTAGTAATGGATCAGTATTTATCCCTAGTATACGAATGAACTTTGTGAGCCCCTCCCATTTAGAGGGATACTCCCTCATCCTAGACACAAGTAGAAGGGCCTAGGCCCTGCCCCAAATGATATGACAGACTTTGAAGATTCCTCATGGAACTCCTCACCCTCCCAGGGGAGCAGAAAGGGGATGGGCTGGGGTTTGGTGGGGGTGATAGAGGAGGATGGGAGGAGGGTGAAGCAAGTGGGATTGACATGTAAAACAACCTTTTTACAAATTTAAATTTAAAAAGGAAAAAAATTAAAAAAACTCATTACTGTCTCGAATAATGTGATAGAATTGCTTTAGTTTTTATCTTTACTTGTTCTCTTATACTTTGCTTGCTGCTTACATTCTAGTAGGTCATTTTCCCCTCAGTTTTTTGAGTTGCTAATTTGAAATTATTTTATTTTGTAGTTCAGGTTGGTTTGAAACTTACAAACCTCCTTTTCAAAATTTCCTGTCATGCTAGGATTCCAGGTGTGTGGCAACATGCCCCATACACTATAAATTTATTATTCTGAAAAATGCATTGTTTATGCAGTGTTAGGACAAAATACCTGAGACAAAAGGAAACTTAAGAAAGAGAGGGTTTGGAGCTGACATTTTGACTCAGATGGTAAAAGCTCTTTCAGAGTACTTGGTTTTGATTCCCACTACCCTTGTGCAGTGGCTCACAATAAGAGTTAGGTCCAGTTCCAAACAATCCAAAGCCCTCTTCTGGAACACAAGCACATTTGTACTCATGTGACACTTCACATACAAACATGCAGGTATATCCATGTACATATAAAAATATTTGATTAGAAAACATAAAGGAAAGGAAGGGTATATTTGGTTCATGGTTTCAGGGTAGTATCTATTCTGACAGGGAAACCGTGATGGCAAGGGTGTGAGATAGCTCTTCACATTGCATCCACAATATACTTGACAGTAGGTCATTAAGAAGGATTTTGACATTCCTTGCTGGAAATTGGGATGTATCCCTTATTGAGAATCTCCTTTGATTTTAGGGTTTTCCTGCCATATATGTCTGAATTTCAACGAGAAGGTTAATTTATGCTTCTAGATTATAATATGGAGAAAACACTCTTATAACTATGTAAATATATGAGCTTCAGTGCCACTTAAATGTGACATGGATAACTAAGGTTGTGGAAAGTGGATGGAGTTCTTAGTGAATGTATGTTGGTGACATGAGAGATGCCATGTCAAGGATCCCCAAGATCTCAGACTCATGGAGATGACAAGGACTTCCCTAGGTCAGAATCAAAGAAATGGCAAAACCTAGATTTTATAAGTATTTGATTTTACAAACAACTGACCTTTGGTTAAATCCAAAATTTACAGAAACTATCAACCACAGCTGCCTTATCCAGGATGACTTTGACCTGAACTTGTCTCCTATCAAGACCCCCTAACAATAGTAGCTAGCCTATAGTCTTATTATTCATCTGTACACATTACACCCTTATCCTCTGTCAGCAATGGGTAAGAAATGTGCCAAGTTTCTGAGCTAGTGGTTTATTTCCATCAGAGTGCAATATACCGTACAATGTCTTTTCTATGTGTTTGTCCTTTCTTTATTCCCTTATTGCCACACATTGAAGCCAAGTTCAGAACTGTGCAGATCCTGACAAACAATCTTGATACCCATGTTATATTCTTCACTATTGAAATTCATATCATTTAAAAATACAAAATATATCCTGAGGGCTCACATCTGTAAAGGTACTAAAGAAAATTAATTTGATAATTATCCTTTGCTGCCTTCTAACCAAATAATTAAGGTTGTTTTTCCACAGTAAATTGTATGTTATGTTCTCCTTTGTTTTCTAAAATATATTACAAACACTAAATAAAATGCATTAGCTCATGTATTTGAAATCTTCTGTATATATTTATGGAAAATTTGTATATTTCACATAATTTATAATTTTGAGAGTGATCCAAATATATCCTTAAAGGTTTCCTGGTTTTATATTCTAGATATTGATTTTATTTTATGAACATGATACAGTTGTTGAGCAGTCACCTGTGAGTGGCATTAGGTGGTTCTCAATTTTGCACCATTTCCAGTGGTGATACCATGAGTTCCATTTTATATATATCAATCCATGAATGTCAGCATATCATTCCTATAGTGTAAATTCACATATGTGAAATGGTTGGTAAAAAGTGGATATGTCCTTGGAATGTCAAACTGTTTCAATGAAAACCATCAAACTTAGAATCACTACAATGTCTTTATGTACTAGCTTATGTGGTAACTAATACTGTTTTTCAACTTGATACCTTTGTAAAGAGGGCAGCCTGATTATAGAAATGCCACCATGTCTGTGAGGCATAGAGGAGAGTTTAGCTCCATGTGGGCTCTAGGACCTGAGCTGCATAAAACAGGAAGCTGAGTAAGCTTCAGGAAGCAAGCCAGAAGCATCACTGCATGGTTTCTGATTTCTGCCTCAGCACTGCCATAGCTCCTGTGCTGACTTCCCACAATGGTGAACAGTTATGCAGAAACATAAAATGAAGTAAACTCTTCTCTGCACAATTATTTTTGGGCACAGTTTTTATCACAGTGACATAAAACAAACTGATAATCTTTGTTCTTTAAAACAGGAATGTTAGCATTCATGGTTCCACTTAAATAAGCCTGCATGTTGCATATCTTCATAATATTAATATAGTGTTCATGAACAAAGCTTAAAAAGTTTTTAAAATGTTCTAATAAACACAAGTCATGAGAAAAACTATTTAGGCGTTTCCTGGGTAATAAAGCAATTGACACACAAAATTTTCTGAGGAATCTTTGGAAGAATAATCCTCATCATCAAATATCATATCAAAACATATTATTAATTTTAACAGTCTCATTGACATACAATTTTCATTTACATGTAATTATTTCTGTTATAGGTGATTTGCAAGTATCTCAAAAGCTTTCATTTTAAAATTTTTCTTTAGAAGAATTAAATGGCAGTATTCTTGTAAAGTCATACTTATCACTAATTTCTTAAGGATCTACAATATACTCTGGTTTTCTTCAAAGTATTCTGCAATGTATTTTGCCCAATCTCTATGATTTAATGATACCAATCAAAAATTTGAGATAAGAACATCATGATGCAGAAACATTAACTATCTGAAAGTTATACAAATAATAATTCATGATATGTTGCATAGAAAAAAAAAACTTAGCTACAAATACCAGTCACAAATTCAGTAGAGAGCAAACATCACTGAATGAGTGAATTAGATAGTTCAGCTACCTACACCAAATGTCTTACCTCAAACATAAATGATAAAGATGGAACAAGGGGCTTTAAGTGACCAAATCTGTAGAGGGTTAGGAACACCAGGCACCGGAGTGTTTCTACAATAGCTGCCTTGGGTCTGAAATAACAGGAATTAAGATCTGTTAGCTTTACATTCATGTGTTTATGTCATAATTAACATATCAATAACATTTACTTTTGATTTTCAGGAAAGGTAAAGTGTTTTAACATAGTCAAGTATTTTTATCTAATGTACTTTTAATGTAAACTTAAATAAGAAACAAAACATATCTATTAAAAGAAACCATTTTTTGTTAACTTATTGTTTAGTTAAAGCTGTGATGACCTATGGTAAAACGATAAAATTTTTAACAGCAAGGCATCTAAAATATAAGGCATTGAGGTTCTCCTCAGTAGCCCAATGTCTTTTGATGGCTTAGGAGGAGAAAACTGATATAGTGAATTCATTTAAAACAATGGTATTCAACACTAAGGTTTTAAAATTAAACTATGGAAGCCCATTGATATTTAATAGTAGTGTGGAAAAATTCCTCTTCTGAATGAAATAGAAAATAGGAAAAGAAATTCATGCCTTGCCTTTGATCCAGAAGAAGACCAATGGATGTCAAGGTCAGGATAATGAAGAAGACCCTCAGAAGTAGAGTGACTTGACACAATGCCTGTCAAACAAACACAGAGGTCAGTGAACCTTTCAGAGGGTGTAGCAGGTAACATTGCCATGGAAACATCTTGCCCTTTTCAGCATCCCATTTGTCGCTCTTCATACAAAGGTGGGAAATACACAGGGCTATTTGCTTCTGTAAGGCAAAAGACACAGTCAACAAGACAAACAGCAGCCTACAGAATGGGAAAAGATCTTTCAAACCCCACATCTGACAAAGGGCTGATCTCCAAATTATACATAGATCTCAAGAAACTAGACAAATAAACACCAAATAATCCTATTAAAAAGTAGGAAGATTGAGTAAGGGGAAGAATAGAGGAGATCAGGAAAAGAGATACCATAATATTGTGAGCCATTATAGATTTAAGAAGAAATCTGGCACTAGGAAACTGCCCAAAGATCTACAAGGATGACCCCAACTAACAATCTAAACAATAGAGGAGAAGAGGCTACCGTTTATGCCCTTCCACAATAACTACCTTATTTGCCATCCTAGAATCTTCATATAGTAGCTGATGGAAACAGAAGCAGACACCCACAGCTAAACACTAGCAGAACTCCTGGAATCCAGTTACAGAGAAGGAGGAGTGATGAGCAAATGGGTCAAGACCAGGCTGGAGAAACCCACAGAATCAGCTGACCTGAACAAGTTTGAGCTCATGCACCCCAGTCTGATAGCTGGGAAATCAGCATAGGATTGACCTAGACCCCCTGAATGTGGGTGTTAGGAGAACTGGGCAGTCTATGGAACCTCTAGTAATGGGTCAGTATTGATCCCTAGTATAAAAATGGACTTTCTGAGCCCATTCCACGTAGAGGGGTACATTCTCAGCCTAGAAACATGGGAAAGGGCCTATGACAGACTTTGAAGACTCCCCATGGAAGGCCTCACTCTCCCTGGGGAGTAGAAAGGGGATGGGCTGAGGTTTGGTGGGGGTTATAGGGGAGGATGGGAGGGTGAGGGAACTGGGAGTGACATGTAAAACAATCTTGTTTCAAATTTAAATTAAAAAACAGGAAAATAATCCCTAAAAAAAAAGAAAAGAAAAGAAAAGAAGGGATATTAATAACCATTGATTATTGATTCCTGTTACTTTTAGATTTCTTGGTGGTGATGGCATTGTGTATATGTTTCCATTTGGGGGGGTAAGTAAAGTGGGTTTATCTATTATCTACGTTTTTGTGAGTGTAGCTAACTTATTTTTGTTACAGTACTTTCTATAGGGCTGGATTTGTGGATAGGTATTATTTAAATCTGATTTTGTCATGGAATATCTTCTTTTATTTTTCTGTCTATAGTGATTGAAAGGTTTGCTGGATATGGTAGTCTGGGCTGGCATCCATGGTCTCTTAGTGTGTGTAGAACCTCTATCCAGGAGTTTCTTGCTTTCAGAGTTTCCATTGAAAATCAGGTGTAATTCTGATAGGTCTGCCTTTATATGTTACTTGGCCTTTTTTCTTTTCTGCTCTTAATATTCTTTCTTCATTCTGTATATTTTGTGTTTTGATTACTATGTGGTAAGGGAACTTCTTTTTTCAGTCCATCTATTTGTGTTCTGTAAGGTTCTTGTACTTTCATAGACATGTCCTTCTTCAGGCTGGAAAAATTTCCTTCTATGATTTTGTTGAATATGTTTTCTGTGCCTTTGACCTGGACTTCTTCACCTTCTTCTATACCTATTATTCTTAGCTTTGGCCTTTTCATGGTGTCACATATTTCCTGAATTCTGTGTTAAGGAATTGTTGGATTTAACATTTTCTTTGGTCCATGAATCTGTTTTCTGTTGTTCATCTTCAGCACCTGAGATTCTCTCTTCCATCTCTGGTATTCTGTTGGTTATGCTTACATCTATAGTTCCTGATCATTTAACAGATTTTTCTATTTCCAGCATTTCCTCAGTTTGTGTTTTCTTTATTGCATCTATTTCAGTTTTCAAGTCTTGAACTGTTTGAATTGTTTCTTTTACCTGCTTGATTGATTTTTTGTTTCTTTCTTGTTTTTGATTTTGTTTTTGCTTTCTATGCTTTAAGAGATTTGTTGATTTCTTGCATTTTTGTGCTTGTCTTTTCTTCTGTTCCTTTTTTGTTTGTCTTTTCTTATACTTCATTAAAGGAGTTTCTCATTTCCTATTTAATGGCCTCTATCATCTTCAAAAAGTTATTTTATGGTTGTTTTCTTCTGCTTCATCTCCATTAGGATGGCCAGGTCCTGCTGGTGTAGAAGCCCTAGCTCATATTACTCTTTATGTTGTTGAATGTCTTCTTACATTGTTATTTAGGCATCATTCTCCTGCAGTGGATGTGCAGTTGAGACCTATAATTCAGGGGCTCTGTTTTTCTCCATTTGGTGTATGTGGAGGCCTATGGCTTAGATTGTTGTTCTTCCTCTCCCTGTGAGGGTGTGACCAAGGATACAATAGTGACAGATATGATGCTCAATGGCTCAATGCTTCCGGGTGTGGGGAGGGTCCCCCCAGTTCTCTAGGCTATATCTCTGGGTAGGGGTAGAATCAAAGTTCTGATGGCAACAGATGTGATGCTGGATGGTTTGGGATTTCCCTCCGGTCTCTGGCATTTCAGTGGGGAGGACTGGGAAATGTACCCTGGTTAAGGGCCTCCATGGGAGATGGGGTTATGGGATATTGATGTCAGGCACTCACCTCTCCTCTCCTAGTGGTTGTGGGGCCAATGCTCAGATGGCAGCAGATACAGTGCTGGATGGTTTGGGGTGCGATTTTTCTATGTATTTTTTCTATCATTTTTCTTCCAAGTCCCCTTGTTCCCTCTTTCAAAAAATAAAGATCCTACAGTTGATCCTGCTGGATTCACATTCATTCAATACTTTGAATGCAATCCCTTACATAATTTCACTGGCTAATTTGAGGATATACAAATGAATGCTCTACTCAGTCTTGCATAGTCACACCTAACATTCTTTATATGCAAGTATGTAAAGCTAAAGGGGCTCGTGGAAGAGTCTGAGCACTAAGAGAATAGCTAGGATAGTGTTGGTTCCTATGGATGAAACACTGAGGATGCAACGATTCCTGTGGTAACATATTATTTGTGAGTTATTAAAACTTGCCTGAGGATTCAGAAATCAAAGCCTGCCTCAAAATATAGAGATCAGGAGGTGGTGGTACACACCTTTGATCCCAGGACTCAGGAGAAAGTCAGATGGATCTCTGAGTCCAAGACTACCCTAAGATACCTGAGAGTGAAACCGAGGGAACACCTTTAATCCCAGGATTTGAGAGGTATAAAAGGTAGAGGCATTCAGTCTGAGATTTTGTCTGTATCCATGCTGAGAAGAGCATAGCAGTCTGAGTGAATTTCAGGAGCAGTGAAGTCTGGAACAGTTTGAAGATGGCCCCTTTGGTCTGAGCATAAGTAGTGGTAAGAGCTAGTGGTTGGGTGCTTTGCTTTTCTTATCTTGAGATTGAAGCTTGGACCCTAATATCTGTCCTAATATCTATCTATGGGCCTTTGCTTTATTGTGTAACAATCCCAAAGGGGTAATTATGTGAGTCAGCAAGCCCACCTGGACAGAATCCCTGTCACATAACCAATAGATTATGTTCACTACATTCAATAGCTCTTTTCAAATAGAATTCTACATTCAAAATTCAGTAAATTATGTAGACCCAATAGAACTGTTCCAGTGAAATACTCTATTGCTATATAATTATTTAATTATATAGGATTTAGCCAATGACATTATTAACAATAATCATCATGACTAGCTCTCAGCACACATTATTTATCTATTTATTTTATTTCAGCTAATCATGTGATTTTCAGAAGTGTTTAAGATACCTTAGTTTCAAGCAGAACTCATAGGGGCTCGCTGAGACTGAAGGGGGCAATTACAGTACATTGCATGGGTCTGTGCCAGGTCCTCTTCATATATTTTATGGATGTGTAGATTGGTGTTCTTGTGGGACTTGTAACAGTGGGAGCAGAACCTGTCTTTGACTCTTTTGACTTTTTTGGGACCCTTTACCTCCTACAGAGATGCCTCATCAGGCCTTGATATGAGGTTTTGTCCCTGGCCTTATTGTAACTTGTTATCATGTGTTAGGCTAATATTCCTGGGAAACTTGATTTTTTTCTAAAGAGAAATGGAGTGGATCTGGGGTAAAGGAAAAATGGGGGGGGGGGCGGCTAGGAAGAATTGAGGGAGAGGATACTGTGTTCAGTGTCCCAGATGTAATATATAGAAAGAATAAATAAAATATCTATTAAAAAAGACATCTTAGTTTTGTTTAAATTTAAAATGCTCATCCAAATATTAATTTTACTTAGTATTTTGAGTATGTTAATTTTTAACATTCTGATAAATTTTTTGGACTCTTACACTTTTATGAAGAATATTTTATAAATGAGTCAATGAAACAAAATTCTTTAAAATATTTAATTAATTTTGCAGTTTGCAGGCCATTTTTTTTACATGGTTTTTGTTACTTTTGTTTTTTCCAGAACACAGCCAGTATACTGATTAGCTACAATGAGTCCATTCCTAAGCTAACTATACCTTACTGAACTTATGTTTGTTTCTCCAGATAGGGTATTATGTATATCTTAGAGAAAAAAAATATAAAAGCTGTAAACCTTGCAATGAAAATTCTCAGTCTATCATGTAATTGTCTAAATATATCTCAAAATTGATAGATAATATGCTGTTCTAAACATGTTTAATTCTGAATTTTGAAGTCTCATTTCAATTACAAACATATATGGCAAATAATTTCTTGTTTACCATTTAGATTGATGTCAAAACATTACATATAGCACCACTTGGATAGAATTAATTTGTTTACATTTAATAGTTTTGAGTAAATTATTTTGCCTATCTAAAATGTGTGATATTACCCCAAAAGAAAAGCAATTATGAAAAAATAGAGTATAGTCACAAGGGAAGAGCTTACTTTAATTTAAAAATAAAGCTTGGATTATTTTTCACATACTTTATTAAAATTAATGCTACCTACCTCTGTGCTGGCAAAGGTCTCTTCATAAAATGCCAACATCACTGCAAACTGCAGGACAGTGTACAGCTTTAATAGCTGGGATGCTGCTGATGACAAGGGGACTTCCTGTCCTGTGACCTAGGTAGATCAGAAGGACACTTCCCTTACTCTGTGTCATGGCTCACCTCTTGTGCTAAAATTTACATTATGAGAAAGAATGAGTAACAGCAAAAAGAATTTTTCATCTTTGTTCCAGGAAGATTCTAGAAATTTGTATGAAAATTGCCTTGGCTAGAAAATTGTATGAAGATCAGGAGACTTGATTCTTTTTTTTTTTTTTTCAAGGACTTCATGTAAATTTATTTCAAGACCACAAACAGTAGCCACACACTTTTTTTGTTCATGTGGCAGTTCACCTTGCCACTCACTCATTCAGTCATTTTACAAAAAACACAGCTTATGAATTCTTTCTATTACCAACATAGACCAAAAGAAATCTTAAAATGTATGAAGATGTTGTCACCTACTGTAGATAATTCTGACCTCTGTTTATCATGGACTTCTTAAGTTTCACATTCATTCATTTGTATTTTCTCATGAATGTGAAGCAGTTAGAATTGAAATCAATTTGTGTGTGTGGGTGTGTATTCAAGATATTTTTTTTTAAGTGTATACATGTTTACCAGAATCACAGGCTTTCCTGGTACTCATAGAGACCAGAAGGGTATGTTAGAGCACCCATAACTGGAGTTGCAGTTAGTATCATCCAATGAACATATTTTAAGTTTCTCCATTCTTGAATACATAATGTGCTGAGACTGACAGAATAAAAATGATTGGTATTAGAAATGCAGTTTCTTTTGTGTTATAGCTTTGCAAAACAGTATGAATTAATGTAACAGCGCCCCTTATCAGCAGGAAGTAGTTTGGAAAGAACAACGCCCAAATTCCCAAATATAGTCTATAAATGTTTGTTTTCATTTAAATGGACTTTGTTATATAAAATAAATTAAGAAAAAAAGAATTAATGTAACCACCATTTTTCCTAAGTTGATAAACTACCACAAAAATGGATTCACTTATACTTATTCTCTTAGTCAACAAATAAGAGGTTCTTTTTGTGTTTTTTTGTTCTGTTTTGTTTTTTTTTGTTTTTGTTTTTGTTTTTGATGTTAAGAAGGCTCTTTTTTTTTTTGTTTATTTTACTCTGGGAGCTGGCTTTTATAACCAGGCACCAGATGGAAGAGGAGAAAGCAGAGGTGGGCGGTTAATCATCTTAGGTTCCAAGGACCAGTTAGGGCATTTGTAGGGGCCTGCCCCAAAGTTGTGGAAAACAAAGGAGCATCTTGCCTCAATAAACATGTTTTTCTTTTCCTGCGGTTACCTTGATGAAGAATATTATGCATTCCAAGTACAATTTGGTCATCCTTAAGTAGAAATATCATAGGTGCTTCATATGTGTTATCAATGATTGCAGCAGTCAATAGAAATAAATTAGAACAAATAGAAGCAGAGGAGGCTCTTGACTGTGGACTTGAAAGATTTTGAAATTAGTTTCAATTGCTCTACTTCCCAAATTACATTCCTTGTAATGAGTCAATGCTCACTTAGTAGGCAATGCCCTTCTTAATCCACCTCCATGGTGGTTTATCCTCATTAAGCTATCTGTGTACATCCACCTAAGTTAGCATCACTTTATAGTTTCACATGAAGAAAGCATACAGGCAGACAGGCTGCATATTCAGCCTCACTACTTCCTCTGCTATAAACTCTACTTACCTCTGGAATTTCTTCATTCAAGCCGAGTCTTGGTTTACCTGGACCCCATCCTGGTCCTTTAAATAGGACAGAAAACTTATGGAAGAATCCAGGTGTGGCCCAGAATGTATTCCATATATGGAACAAATGGTGAAACTTGGAAAAAAAATATAGTTTATTCTAAGTAAGACAAGCAAAAGAGATAGTATTAAATAGAGTTATATACTTTATTATTTTGTTCAATATAATTTACATATTTTTAAATGTATATCATGCATGAAAGACAGATAATATATTGATATGTGATCATGTTCTGTGTTTTAATTACTTCTATATATCCTATATATCTTTAATGTGTTATGAACATCTTTGAAGTTAAATGAAATTATAATTTATAAAAAGGCTGTAGTTGGTTACAAAAAACCCTTCAAAGTAGAGCAAATAAGTTATGAGGCTGCATCAAATAAAATTATCCAGCTTTATGAAAGCTATAACCTTGTATATTGACTCCTTTTATAACATTTTACTAGATGGATATAACAGTTGAATGTGGAGGTATCTTAAGATTGCTCCTCTATTCAAATATTTTTAAAACAATAATTTATTGTGTTACTAATATGGTAGTAACAAAAGATATCCACAAACATTTCATTGTAGAGTTCCAAGTATTAAATAACTCATATTCTGTCCCTAAAAGAAAAGATTTGGGGGCTGAAGGAGTCTTTTACAATGAGTGTTATAGCAGAAATATATATTCTTTAAATAGCATTCATTTCATATACACAGAAGTTAAAAACATGCCCACATATAAGTGCTCAATAAATTTTAATTATAGGAAATTTCAAACAAGTGCCCATAATGCACCATATGATTAAACATATTCATAGCATTTGGGCATCATCTTCAGAGTCTAACTGTGAGGTTTTGTTTCTTGATTTTTTTTTTTTTAAGTATAGAAATTCATTAACAGAAAGAAAAGCTTTTGCTCTCAGAATTTGTGGTCATGCTGGTATTTTAGTATTCCCTGGATGAATTTAAATTGTTAGCTTTAGAAAAATGAATTTTATAATTACTAAAATATTTCAAGAATCAATGTAAAATATTATGGGGCTTAATGGAGAACTTTTTGAGGACGAGGTTAGTGTTACATGGAAGCTTAGTGGCATTTTCAGTGCTAGTAATACAGGAAAATAGTATGTTTAGGACTTCCAACACACAATTTTGTTATTTTGCAAATGGACTTCAATTTTATATCTACAGTCCTGGATACTACCCATGAGAAATATATCATGATAGCTTAATGACATTTTCCCAATTTACTAGGTTTCCAATCCTCTGCAACTTTGGGTCTTCCAAAAGAGAGCCGAGTAGTCTACCACTAAAATTGGCAAGCATATCCCTGTGTCTAGTGGGGAAAATTCCAACTTCATTTGCAGCTAATAAAACCAAGATAAGCAATTTAGCCCTACTGAAAGGGAAGTCACTGAAAATAAGAAATTTGAGTGTTATAAAATCTTCATTACCATAACTTGCTGAGTTGACATTTCTAACTAAAATGAACACATAGGGGAATAAGCCTGAGGCCCATACACAACAACTACCTTGCTGAAGAAAACATTTTAAATGTAGACATCTGGAAGCTTAATACATAAATTTAATGTTCAGTGGCTCAAAAATAGCTCTCATTGTCTCACATTGGCACTTAATAAATTCCTATATAGTCATCTAATTATATATGTAGTGCTTACACTATCCTGATCTTTTCTCAAGTATTAACTCCCTTACTTCCAAAAGTGTCATGTATCCATTAATAATACTGACATCACTTATGATCTATTACAAATAGTTAATAATTCTGCTGATCAGACTCTAAATTGGTGATAATTGAATAGAGCTGGCTAAAAAGATCTGAACATTCTTATTATGTGTCTCCTGAGAGACACACCCTATTGTGGGTACAGCTTAGGGTAGAGATGGAAAGTACCATGTTGTAGAAAAGAAAGATAAGATTTACACATACACACACACACACACACACACACACACACACACACACACATACACACACACAAGCAACTATTTTCAAATTTTTTCAATTGTGGATACATAGAAATGACTACCAATATATAAATGATGGCATTTAGCCATAACCGGTGTGTGAAGCTGCAGTCAATTAAGTAGGTTTAAATGAGCTAAGTGAGCCTGTGTCTTGGTTTTCTAGCGTAAGTTTGTAGCTGACAATTGAATCTGGAATTATTTAAACCTTTAGTCTGTGTTTCCCATGCTGGAAAAAGGAAATAAAAGAATAGCACTGCTTCATAAGATATTACTGAGTGACTGTTTTGTGTTTGCAGGTATTTCACATAGAACAGACTCAACAGATGTAGATAATTTTCTTGTATCAATGCAAACTTAAGTAGGTTTGCAAAGCAGACCTAACAGGATTTATTACTTTCAGGATGTTGCAACCAGCCCAGTGCACAAAATTGTCACTGCTGACCATCACATATTTTAGAGCTTTCTTATCTTTTCCTCATTTGTGATTCCTTAACCCCAGGAGCCTTTGTGGTATTCTAATGTTGATACATGGAAACTTTGCAGACATCCTTCATTTCTCTAGTGCCAGCCACTAAGACCAGTGAACAAGCAATACCACATGTCTAACAGAAAATTGGTCTGTTACACCAAGTTTTAGTGGAAGAAGTAATAATGTGGACCTCACTGATGGGTAATGCTTCTTGACACCCACTTCTAACACAAGAAGGGCAAAAGCCTTATGTTGAATTTCTAACCTTAGGTTGAAGGCTTGAAGCAAATATTTTTCTTACTGTGGGATCAGCCTTAATTACATGTTGCACCACTGTTACTGAATACATGAATATATTTCAGGTCTGTTCTGAGAAAGAACATGTTTTTCAAAGAGCCACTTTCTGCATTTGAAATATTAGACACATTTGAAAATCCTTATAATGAGTATCAATGGATTGTGCCCATCTGACTCATGTCACTTAACTGCTTAATATTTATTTCAATTTTTTTATATGTGAAGCATTTTTTCTCACAGAAATGTAATGTGCCTCCACTTACCACAAACTTTTTTCTTAAACATAAGATTTGTGAAATTATATGCACTCAGAAGGAACAAGGCTGAATGAATTACCTGAACTTTGAATGGCTCAAACGTATCAAGGGGATGCGTTAGACCATATATAACCTGTTCCTTCTCTGCTTCAAATGTCCCTGGAATATAAATATTACAATCTGATTAATGATTTTATACGATGTACACAGCAGCTAATTTCACTATTGTGATAGTTGTACATTTTACTTACCAAAAATTCTATCCCAAATAATAAGAGTGCCAGCATAGTTTTTGTCTATACAGTAACGATTTCTGCCTATAAGACAAAATATTAAAATTAATTTTTTAAATACATGAAGTTGAGCTTTTGAAACATTTATTTTCCTTACTTTTAAAACTTACAAGAAAAATTCAAGTAATAAAGTGTCTCTAAAGATATCTTCTCCCCAACCTTACACAAATAACCAGAAGCAACTGAGAAAAATTGGTAGTGACAGAGGGGAGGGTTTTGTCCAGAGAAGACCGCAACATCTGGCTGTTGAGTGCCAAACAGTCAGCTTTGAAAACATACATACAACGAACACTATGTAGACAGACAGGTCATATTTAAGAATACTCATAAGAATGCATCATATATTGTAGATAACCATGGAGTTGGCCTGGCCTGGCTACCTGGAGGGGCTTTTCAGGTTAGAGTCCATGGCTAAAGTTTTTATTAATTTATGCACATTTCCAATGTTTTAGTTAAATATGTATATATAATCACATGAATGGATTTGTGAAACTAATGAAGAATTGACAATCACGTTGTTTGGAGGAAAGTTAAAAGGAGGTGAGATGGAAATATATGTATTTGGTGTTTGAGCAATGGTGCAGCTGGTAAGAGTATGGCTGTTCTTACAGAAGACTGAGGTTCAATCCACATGACCCATGATGGCTCACAGCCATCAGCAAGTGCAGTTCTAATCATATGACACCCTCTTCTGTCCTCTGAGGGAACTGTGTATATGGCATATACAGGTATATATGCAGGCAAAGTACCCATTCACACAAAATGGTAATAAGAATGGAGTTTTGGAAAGGAAATGTATGTATTGGCTTCTATTTTGGTTTTTGATGCTATTTTTAGTCTTGTTCTCTGCTGATGTTTCAGAAAGAAAATTAGAACAATATTTCACTATTTTAATAATAAAAAAGCATAATTAAAAATTAAATTACTCTTGGAATTGTAAATTTTAGTAATATGTTAATTTCCTAGCTCCAAAGCATCCAAATTACAATTTAAACTTAATGTAAGTAACTGTCAACTTTTGTGTGTGTGTGTGTGTGTGTGTGTGTGTGTGTGTTTTAAAACTTAAATAGGTATAATAATACAAATGTTACAAAATCTGGATGAAAATAGTTTTAATCTACTAAACCATCTATCTGTATTCAAGTACATACTTTCTGTGCATGCAAACATGAGAACAGAGATAAAGGTTTACATGATCTAAACATCGCTCTCCACTAAGTTGTGGAGCATGTGGCCCCTCAAGGGATTATTGGCAGTGTCTGAAGATGTGATTGTTCATAGCATCAGACGAGGTTACAAACAAAACAGGCATCAATCATGGACTCTGTTAAGCACCCTACAATACCCAGGACAGCTTTCACCACAAAGTCTTGGTCCCAAGTACAGGCCACTGCTGAGGCTGACTAGGTCTGACTGGGGTCTGGGGAATTGGGAAGGGGAGGTAAAGAAGAAGAAATGACCAGCTGTTTGTTTTTCAGTGTAGACTCCTCTTTCCTGATTTTTTTTTGTTTGTTTGTTTATGTGAAGGAATCCACAAGCATCTTACACTCCTTGCTAACTGTCCCAGGGGAGAGGAGAATGCTGAGTTTAGAAGAGCTTGACCTATCCTCTCCCATGCTGCTGTGGCCCCAGCCAGTGAGAAAGGGGCAAGTTCCCCTTGAGAAGGCTCAGCTATCGTTGTAGTGTTCTGAAAGTGACTGTGAAAGCAGAGGCTTAGGGCAGCAGATGCATAGCACTCATCCCTTTGCCCAGGCCCCTCGGCATTATGCCCCTTAGATGTATTCTTGCCAGTGTATATGGAAGTGGCTTGGGCAAATTTCATTGCTAGGTGGACCTCCATACACAATAGTCTATTATATATTCATTTACTCTGCAACTCATACACATTCCAAATTTTCTTTTATTTTCACATCACAATTTGTGCACATTCATAATGGTTCCTGTGTTGCTTTTCGTTACAATTGACGCCTCTCTGCTTTAGGCACTAGTCACTTGGAATCTTCTCACTGGGCCATTGAGCATGTGCTGAATTAAGTAATGAACTTAGGCAGAAGAAAACATTGGTTATTAGGTTTTCTTCAAACCCAATATGTATTTTTTTAAGTTTTTAGAAAAACCTTGTTTTGGTTTTGTTGTTGTTGCTGCTGCTCCTTGATTTTGTGGTTGTCTTTTCCTGTTTTATTTCCTGTGGTACACATATTTAAAAAACAAAAGCATCTTTCAAATCCCTGTATCTTTCAAGACTAATAATTTCACTGTAGACAGGGCAGATCCCCAGCACTGTGTCAGAGTATCCTACAGAGGACTCTTTCAAGATGTGAACATTCCTATCTAGCTGTTTGGCTCACTTCCCAGCTCTAACTAGCTAAGATGGGAAGCAGTTGAGAAAGGTCACTTCCACTGGCCCATGCTTTGAAGCCGAGGCTTCTCTGAATAAGGGGAAAGAATTCTTATTTATACAATGTTTTCTAATCATGCAAGGTATAATTTTACTAAAGTAGTGCAGAAATGACACTGCAATTTTTAAAGAAACGAAGGAAAAGGCCTTACCATGATGAACCCTGTGATGGCTAGGGGTGTTAAGAACGAGTTCCAAGGGACCGAGGCTTGTGATGACCTGTTTACAACAAAAGAGAGCCACACAATTAGCTATCCCGAGCATTCTATGTATTGCACAAATAAATGACACCCAAATGGGGGATGAGGTACAGAAAGCTTCAAACCTTTTTACAATTCAGTTCCCATGTCTCTAAAATAAAATTAGTAACAGTGCTATAACATAATGTAAGTCTAGACTTCTAAACGTACCTGGCATTCACTGTAGTTGATGGGAAAAGCAGTCACTATCAATAATGACATTGCTACAAACTGGCAACATGACAGTCGCACAGGGGAAGAAAACAGGGTGGTGGACTTAGGAGTCTAAACTGAGCAACCAAATGTAATGGGTGGATTATTTGGATACTTATTGGAGACTAACAAACAACCATAATCACTATCTTGTAGATAATGAGAGGATTAGATGATAATAAACCATTTTATTTAGAGTGATAATTGCATGGGGTATGAAAATGTAACTTTACAACAACATAACTGATAAGTTCTAGACTTTGCTTGAGAATATTTTGGCAATGAAATTAAGAAGAAAAATAGAATGATTGACAGAAATGAATCAAAATCTCTGAGTTTAATAGAAGTAACAAATACAAATAGATGGCTCCTCCTGTGTTTTTGAATTCTGGACAATGGATGTAAAATGTATTAGTATATATTTTTAAGTAAATTGAAAGTATTAAGAGATGCCCAAATTCAGAAAAATATTTCCATTTTATTCATTGATTTTATTTTTAACTCTACATATTAGTGTATCTTAGTATGATTTGTGTGTCTATGTGTCATGTCCAAGAAGGTCAGAGAGTGTGTTGAATTGCCTGGAGCTGTAGTGACAGAAAGTTTTCAGCCACCACACCTGGGTGCTGGGAAACAAATTCAGGTTTCCACAATATAGTGTGTGTTAACTACAGAGCCAGCTTTTCAGACCCAGAAACATACTTCTTAATGGAAGTTCTTCCTCCACAAAGATGTGTTTTGCTTTATTTTATTAATCTTTAGGGTTTTCAGTTGCTCTGAAGATATAGGAAGCTGGGGTTGCCCACACTGTTCTCAGCTTGTGGTTTCACATACCCTCCTGAAATTGTAGCTGTAACCTCATTGACAAATAGCAGCGCAAACTCTCCATCCCATAGTCACCCACATAGTCTCCATATTGTCCATTATTTGCAGGCCTGAAAGAGACCCATTGCCTCTCCCACTGCTGCTGTCAACTTAGGGTTTCTGTTTCTGTCAGAAATGGACAGATACTTGTCTGCAAAAGAATGTGCATTTTTAATGCCATGTGCTAATCTGATGTTTCTCAATGCATCCATCTCTTTCCTTGGTTCCTCCTTCTTTCCTCCCTTCAGCCCCACTTCCCCTTTCATGAGGCTATTCGACAATAAATGTGTTTTATTTGGAGTTCCACTAGTGCTGTCTCTGGTTGTGTATGGATTTACAATGGTGCTGTCCTTGGGTGGGCATAGTGTTACAATGGTGCTGCCCTCGGGTGGGAATGGAGACACAAGGGTGCTATCCTTGGGTGTGAATGGACTTAACAATGTTGCTGTCCTTGGGTAGAAATGGGTTTATAAAGGTGCTGTCCTTGGGTGGGAATAGTGTTACCTTGGCGCTGTCCTTGTTCATAAATGGAATTACAATGGTATTGTCATTGGGTGTGACTAGCATTACAATGGTACTGTCAGTGGGTCTGAAAACCCATTTGACTTTTACAGGTACTGGGGTCTAGCTGGGCCTTCTCCTCCTATTCTCTTGTCATCTCCTTCCTGCCCTCCTTTTTTTATGATTCCTTCCTTCCTACCTGTCCATCTATCTTCTTGTTTTTTGTTTTGTTTTGTTTTGTTTTTTTTTTTTTTTTTCTCTAGCCTGGGGTGTTGGGTGAGGTGTCCTGTCCACCTATTCTTTAGTTATTTCTAGAAGAAATGTATTTTAATCTCTGAACCCAAATCCATTTCCCTATTAGAACAGTGGAATTTTTGTACATCAAACACTGTGGGGTTTTTTCTTTTCAAGTGTACTCTTTTATTTTTTAGAATACAGTCCTATGAAATAAAGCACAAAACTGATGTCTCACAAGTATAGTGTTAATCAACTAGGTACTGGGAAAGCAGCGTGTTTTATTACTTAAAAACACATCACTACCTCATTGTCTACTGGTGGAAAACTGTGGGCCCAGATGCGTGGTCACGGCAGGAGGATAGGAAGAGTGGGTTCCGCAGCATTCAGATTGTTACAAACTGACGCTTTTGGTCCGGCCTTTTTTCATTTGGTAGATAACCAGATGGGAAAGGAGAAAGCCATTTTATCCATTTGTCTCTGGTGTCTAACGTTTGTTACAAAAACAAACAAGAAGAGGGGTGGAGGATACTACACTAAGCCGCTTCTGCTCACCAGATGCTTTTCTGAGCTTGAGCCCTGGCATGTGTGCAACCGGATCCAAAGCCACCCAAATGAATGCCTTCAGATGACTGGAGTCTGGGCTGCATAGCGATTTTGTTGTTGTTTTTTGTTTTGTTTTGTTTTGTTTTTTTATGTCAAGTTTGTTTCCTTAGAGAAACCTTCTGCTCCTCCAGACCGAAATATTATGTTATCAATATTGATAGCTGGTTTTTAACTTTTTAGGTAAAAATCAAGCACAGGACAATCATTTACAGTTCCATTCTGTTGCTGTGCCTGTGAGTACTGTGGAGCTTAGGGAGACCACCACAGGGCAGACAATTCATCACTCAGACAACCCGGTCAGAAGCTCCCATGTAAAAAAACCTCTGATTCAAAGTCATGGAGAATTCATTAATATTTAATAAGAGCTGAGCGTAACGAATTAATTATCTCCCACTTTTGCAAATTCAGCCATTTAGCAATTGTACCACATCTAGCTGGGACTCACTTCCTAAAAAACATGTTTGTTACTCCGGGAAAAATTGGACCTATTCTACATTTTAGAAAATGTTGTCTTAATTTATCAAATTTAAGTGGGTTACTAAAAAATACAAAATTTTATAATGATCGGCCTTAAATATAGTGTAGATCAATATTTTATCATAAAAAAAGCATTAAAATGTGAAATGCTCTGGCCTAAATCACTATTCTGTTAAAAGCTTATGAAAAGCCTTGGAGTCTAATTTCACTTGAAAATTGTTTCTATTTTCTATCTTATCTCTTTTAAATACATATAAAATGATTTTCCATCAAGTAAAATGAAATTTGGCCTTAATAACTCTAGTAGAAGGGATCGCTAATTTTTTGACTACATAGGAGTGAAAATAATTCCACATTTTTATAAAGGTGCACAACATTTGTGCTTCCTGGGTCACTGAAGCGATGCACTTGCTCTTGTAAAATTTTGCTTTGGACTTTATGATCTGAGCAACATGGGTGCCTGGGAAAACCATGGAAAAGCTAGGAAGCTCAGAAATAATTTGTTTTGTATCAAATTTTATGATTATTTTTCTGGGAAAAACTTGGTGTTTTTATCATGGGCTGAAAGGGAAATGTAAATTTTAAAGTTTTAATAACAATGTCCCACTCCTAAGAAGAGATGACCACTGGTTACTTCTTATGCCCTTCCTATTTGTATTGTGTTGTTAGATTCCACATCATTAAAACGTGGGTGTGAATTTCTTTCCCAGACTTTAAAATAAAAATACTTAAACATTTTTTGCTTAGTCTTGAAATAATTAACTCTTCTACCAAGACTGTTGCATAGGCCATTTTCATCTGCAGAATAAGAAATTATAAATGTGTAGTTAGTAACAAGTAAGATTTGTATGAGAGGGAAACCTATGATAAATTACAGGCCATACTTCATCCATCAAAAGTGCTTTGGGTCATTTGCTGGACTAGCCACAAGTTCCTTGCTCTAACAGTCACAGGCTCCTTGTCTCAACAAGTAGTCACAGGCTCCTCATTCTAACACTCACAGGCCCTTCTCACTGCAGTCCTTACTAAGAGTATTAGACACTCTTGTGAGGAAAGACCATGTGCATGTGATGGTGTCATTATCCCTGCATGGCATTTCCTTTTATAAATACATTTTAAGTTCTTAATTTCTCTTTTGGAATTCTGGGAATCAAACCCAAAGCCTCATACACGAGATGTTCACACTGACTGAGCTATTCTCATATCATGTGTCATCCAAGGAGAGACCCTACCCAAAGACCTCACTAGACCTGAGATAATCAGAGTTCAAACTACCTATAAGCTTTCCTGGGAGGAATTTTCTCTGTTCCTTTTTCTTACTTGCCTTCAATCTATCTCTCTTCCATTCTTAGTGGACTCTAGCCCTTCTTGAATATCTGCCACATCCTTTACTCAAATTACAGATTTTTCTAATGAGAAGTTTGATCATCCACACCCCAAATTTGGAAATATATTGTGAAATAATTTTTGTGTCCCTTTCTATGTTCTATGGTCTAGTTATTTAACTTAATCCCTCTTACTATACTGCAATTTCAATAAAGACATTCCTTACCCTTCTTGTTTCTTACAGCATATACAGAACTACACAAACACCATGATTAATCAGCAAGATAATATTTAGAAAATCAGTGTGCCTTTCTATTCTTACATTTTTAGGCCTTCATAGGAATAATTTGCTTACCCTGGTGAAGTTACTGTATTTATCACAACTGCAAGAAATGCTGTTGACTTCCAGTGAATAGGGTGTTTAATCCTGCTAGACAGTTCAATTATACAGGAAAATGCACATGATAAAAATAAGGTAATGTGGAATGTTCTCAGTGTTAAGGTTGAATATGCTGCCACATGGATACAGATACCTCTTCTATAGGTAGGCCCTTTAAGGTCAAGGGAAGAATATCAAATGATCTGGAAATTTTACTTTGGAAATTGAAGGAGTAATGTTTGCAGGATTGAACCTGGTTGTCATTCTCACTGCTAGAAGTTATAAATACATCCAGAACAATGGGATTGAAAATCAGGGATGGAAGATCAACAAAGCAACTTATCAAATGCTTTGTCCGTTAACAGTAACAGCCAAAATGA